ATACACTGCATTCATATATTTATAATATTTATATTAATATTTATTAAAACTGTCATAATAATTGTATAATTTTCAATATATTTAAATAATAAGGCATATTTGTCTTCAGTAATCTATTTAACAATTTACTGCAATACTCAAAATTCAGAATGTTGTTAAATGTCTGGAATGATAAGCACTCATTAGATTATTCTCCTTCATCTTGTGCTAGCCAAAAACCCCCATGTCTCAGAGCTGGTGGGTCCCACAGGGCATTCTGAGTTCTCCCTGGACCCACTCATCCCACCCACGCTCCAAGCCAGCTGCTGGGAGCCCAGTGTCCCACGGGGATGGAGCTGGAAGCTCTGGCTGCTGTCCAGACCCCAGCTCTGTCCCAGAGCAGCTGCTGCAGCCACTCCCTCACTGTCCCCAGGCAGCCACAGATTTAAGGGCCAGGACTGCCCCTGGGTCAAGTCTCACTGTGGAGGACTCTGGAGATGCCCACAGGCAGACAAATATGTGAGAGCAACCTGCTCTCTCCCCATATTCCTGAGGTGGGACCTCAGCTTCCCTCCACACAGTGACTGTGGGGTCACAGCTGAGCTCCCCTCCTGCTGTCGCAGTCACAAAGCATCTCCTCAGATTTGGTGGTCTCCTTCCCTCCCCTGATACCTTCCAAGGCAAGACATTTATCTGTGCAGGATGTAGGGCAAACAGAGCTCAGCCACAGCTGCCCTGAGAGCATTTTCAGCCTGAAGAGGTGCTCAGCAGCCTGAGGGAGACCTGAGGGAGACTCTCACACCATGCCAGTGATGGATAGCAGACCTGGAAAAGGGAGGTTGGGAAGTCAAATGCAGTAAAAAGAAGGCTTCTCCCTTCCAGGTAACACTAATCCACCACTGCTGTACAGACCAGAGAGCTACAACCTCCCCTGGCTTCACCCAGACTTAAACACCTTCTTTAAGAAGGGTTAATAAGAAATGCCCACCCAGCCTGGTGGAGTTTGAAAACATGTAGGAATTAATTTTTGCTCCATCTGGCTTCTGGTGATGTCCTGAAACAGGAGTTTTCAGTACCCTGGGCCAGTAATACAACCACCAGCATTATTTCCAGCCTGCTGTAAATGTCCCACTGCAGCACCTGGTTACAGGACCTGTCAGAGCCCAGAGGACTGGAACAGCACTGACAAGTGGGGCCAGGGAACATTGTCCCCATGGCCAAGAGCCAAAGGATCTTGGGGATCCAGGCTGCCATCCCTTTCCCAAGTACCAGTGGGGAAACTAACTTTTCTGTGACTCTCTTTCCCCTCTATTGAAAGGGAATGATAAAAATGCTTCTCCTTAAAATGAAGAAGAACTGCTTGTGATCTACACAGATGTCCCAAAATTGAAAATGCACTGCTTGCTTCCTGTTATTCTGCCCCATTCCCAAGCCATTGGCAAAGCCTGGAAGTTGGTCTGTGCTCTGGCACAAGCCAGGAGTGGGCTGGGGGATTCTCCTGGCAGGGGGTTTCTCTGAGGATCTGTGGATGTTCAAGTTCAGCCCCTCTAAAGAAAACAAATATAAAAAACTTGAGTTGTTTGAGCCACAGAGGAACTTGAGAGCCCAGCCCTGAGCTCAGCTGCCAGAGGCACTCCACCACATCTGGGACACAGCTGGCAGGGAGGGGCACTGCTGTCAAAGAGGTCTTCACATAAGGCAGGGTGTAACTTTACAGGTAGGGGAACCTCTCTTTACACTTCAAAATAAATAACATTTAACCAAGGTCCATAAAAACTAAAACAGATCCATCACAATTGCCTAATTATCATGATTTACCAAACGCCAGACATTAAGAGTCTTCACTCTGTACTTCCTTCTCTGAACCTTTCAGCACTTCTGAGTGCATGATTAGAAATCATCAGAAACTTCAAAAGAAAAATTTTCCTGCAAATGTCATTCCCCAGGCACAGTAAAGCATGTGGTTTTTGCTGGCTTCTTCCTGGATACTGCTTAGGAGCCCAGCTGGAAATGTTTGCAGCTGTTGGAGCTTTTCCACACACTCCATGTAGGAGGAGGACATATGCCAGGCTGGGAAGACACTGTGCCTGAACAATCACACCTAGCACGAGTTTCCTTTCCACTTCTTCACCCAAGCATGGGAAACCTGAGGGAACTTTGTCACCCCAGGGGTCACTACATTTCCTTCTCATTTGGTTGCATCTGGCAAATGGGTCCAAAAATGATGAGGAAAGAGCTGCCTCCACACATCTCATTGCCTTGGGAGTCCCTGCAGGACTTGATAGGAGCTGAATTTTGAAATCATTGAAATGAGCCATTTCTGTTTACTTGTGCCATTTCTCCCCTAGATTTTTTTTTTAGTTCATGAATATGTGTTGTTTTTCAAGTTTTGTCTAATTTGAAATGAGAAGCTGCTTCCTTGTCTGCAGGTCCTTTGCAGAATAGGAAAACAGCTCCTGCTGAGAGCTGTGTTGGCAATACGTGTTTATAAGATAATGCTACTGGGGCTGTATTCTTTCTGCTCTGCATAATTTAGACCCATTTATTATAGAAAAGGTGAAAAAAGCAGCAGGTAAAGTGTGTCACTGTCACAGATGATGAAATCAACCCGAGTTAGTTAGGAAGCCACTGTGAACTCTGTGTAGCCAGAGCTGATGGGCTGAATGTGAGAGCCAAGGGGAGCCAGAAGACAGAGAAACTCTGCAGACAAAAGGAGGAACTCAGTGTCTTTTTTTATAGCCCCATTTCATGCTCAAAAAGCATCTTAACTCCTTGAGGCCATGAGTCCCCCCCAGCCCCATCTGAACTTGAGGTCAGTGAGGTGCAGGGAGGGCAGAAGATCCTGGGGGGGAAACCCTATCCTCAGGTAGGGAACAGAGCAGTTCCCAGATGACTCTCCTTGCCAGGAGACCCAGGACAACACTTGCTTAACTTGGCCTAGTTGGTTTTTTCTTACATTTTCCTTCTCCCTCTGTCTCCTCATGCTCCTGGTTGGTACTTGCAGGTGTCCTGCCCCTGACTGACCAAGGCACTGCCTACACACTGGGAGGGTCAGTCAGGAAACCCTCAGGTTGGGTCTCTCCACAAAATGCAAGTGCCAGGCAGGCTTTCAGAGACCAGATATAAGCCAGAAATGTTAGAAATGTCCAGGAAAGAAAGAATTACAGTAGTCTGATGAAGGCATAAAAATCAGATTAGGAACCATCCCTGCAGTAGCACTGTGCAGTCAGTGTCCCATAGATTCTGGAGAACTTCCAATGGTCCAAAAGACATGGTCTCTGGGGCATTACTCCCTCCAGGAGTATATGAATTCTAGCCCTTGTCTGCAAGGCTTTGAGATGTTTCAGAGGCAAATCAGGAGGTGTTTGGCTCTTCAGTCAGAGAGCACCCAGTGTTCACACTAACACTGTGCCATATGGTTCTCCATGGGATGGAGGTTGTGCCCAGCCCCTCTCCCAACCTCCTGCCTGCACCTTGAGCATGAGCCACAGGTCATTTGAGGTAAGTTGAGAAGAATGGGTTTGTCACCTCTGACTTCCCTGCCTCGTCTCATGCAGTGTATGTCTGTGTCTCTTGGCATCAGAAGTATAACATGAGCTGCTGTGCTAACCCAGCTCTGTCTGCTGGTTTGTCTCTCCACAGTCTGGCCTGGGGCTCTTTCACCTGCTGCATGGCAGCCTCTGTCACCACCCTGAACTCCTACACTAAGACTGTCATCGAGTTCAGACACAAGCGCAAAATCTTCGAGCAGGGCTTTCGAGAAGAGCAGAACTTCCTAGACCAGGAAGCCATCAAGTACTTCAGAGAAAGGTCAGTGCAGTCAGTCACTCCATCAGGGGAGGTTTTCATGGGCTCTGCTAGTCCCAGAAAATCCAGGCTGTCACCCACTGCAGCATATGTGGGTGAAGTCTCTGAGATACCTTGAGAAGGTGTGTGTTAAACTCAAAAGGTTCTCCTTGATGTGTTTTTACTTAAGTTTTGTGATGTCCCAGTGCCTGTCCTTTCTTATATACTCTATAATCGCAAGACTGACAAGTCCTTACCATGTGCATCCAATTCATAGGGATTCACAAGCTGTGCTGCCAATGTAAGCTGATTTTCCCTCTCTGGAAAGGTAAAATTGTGGGGATGCAACAAATGTGACAGCCATCATTTCTCAGCACATGAAATAGGCACCTCCCAATAATCCCAACAGCTTCTGAGGCACTTTCCAGCCACCCCTAGGCCGTTTTCCACAGTCACATGCCTAAAACCCATCCCTGTCTCCTCCACACAGCCCATGCTCTGGAGCTGCTCCACACAAGTACAGCGTGTACATGGCAAGGCACTGCAGAAACACCCACACAGTGCCACCCACAGTGCCACCAGGGCTTAGAGGGACCCTGAGTCCTGTCTGAGCCCCAGAGGCCCAGAGATGCTCTGTCACTCTGCCCATCACCACACCCTGCCCCACGCACTCGGGGCTGCTCTGGGGCATTTGTCACCCTCATCCTGTGGTGAGAAACTTAAGGCTTTGTTTTAAAACTGTGGAATGTGAAAAACACACAAACATGGATCTCACACAGCAGGGAAGGTGTGATGGGCTCCACAGGGGTTTGTACCTTTACAGAATGAAAAGCTGATCAGTGCAGCAAACCCTCACCAGAAGTTTATTGCTTGAAATAACGTAAAGACATTTTGGGGACAGAAGACACAAGGATCTATTCCTGTTTGCCTGACCAGTGTGGCAGTTTCTCAGTGGTGGAAGGGGACAGAAGGTTTGCAATGATCAGCGTTTTAGCAGCAAAGTGAGGATCTCTTCTGAGAGAGAACTAGAGACCTCCCATGCTTATTATTTTGCCTTGGTTATCCTGTTGTTTGTTAGTCTGTTGTTACAGTTATTCCTCTGCTAACTTCCAGGATTTCACCCTACCTTTCAAACAGTCTGGAAGGAAGAGAGAAATGATGCAGACAACCATGGTTTGCCTAATTTTGCATTTGAAGATTACAGTGAATCCTAAAAAATTCTCTGTATGAGAAAAAAAAGCCCCAACACAGTGAAGAGGAAGGGGTCATTACGTGCCTCAGGAGAAATCAGCACCCAGGCAGGGAAAACAGACAAATTATTGAAGTGAGAATTACAGATTAGAGCCTGGAAGAATTATAAGGCACAATATGTTGACTTACATTGAGATATGCTAAGGAAACTTGATAAAGCACCACTACTGACCCTTCTGGAACAGTAAATAGAAAAAAATCATTAGTAGCCTAGAGGATAATAACTTTTTCTTTCACATGGGTGTTGTGGGTTTGATTTTGATTCCTCTTGCCCTCACCATATGACACGATTTCGCCCCCAGCAATTCACTCCTTGGCCACATCCCCCCAGCCCTTCCACACACACTTGGCACACACAGCTCAAGCATGTGGTGTTCCCAAACTTCATGATTATGACTTTCTTTTTTTATATCACATTATTTTAATTGTTGTATCTGAATACATAATAGGAAGCCCAGAGACAGTGTTACCATGGGATCATTCTGGAGGTTTAAAGCTGTGCAGCAATATACCAAATTTTTTTTTTTAAAAGTCATCATATTCATTATAGTTTCACTGCTGTGACCTGGGAATACTTGGACACTACAGGGGGTCCAGGCATTGTCCATTAGCAACACCCTGTTGCTACATGCTGTGGGTGCCCACAGTCCCACACAACTTCCCTTAGCTCCCATCTGCCTTTGCACAAATAGAAAATAAGTTCTCTTTCCTTCCTGTGCATATACCCAGGGATACTTCACATTCCCTCCTACTCCTCCACCTCCATGTTCCTTTTCATACCTCATGAATAAAACCCTCCAGCCTTTCTTCCTTCCAGTTACTTTGTACATATCATCACCCTTTTTGCACGTTCCTTTGCCTCGGTGCACACCCAGCACTCCGTGTGCACACACATCTAACCTCTGGTTTGGATGGACTCTGTGCAACAGGAAAGTTAAAGCATTATTATTATCATTGTAGTTATCATTATTTCCAACAGCTACATCTCTCATCTAGGAGACAGGGAAGAAAAATGTTAGCTCCATTTTGCCTGTTGAAAGTTTTTTGTTGGAATGTTCTTCTACAGGCCCCTGCTCCCAGAGAAGAAATTTGCTTTATGAAAAGTACTGACAGTAAAACAGCGCTAATCTCGCAAATGCTTTCTCAAACATAATCTCATTGTATTGCACTTAATTTTAATTGTATGCAGCTTACAAGTTACAAACAGAGACAGCCAAATTCTTTGCCTGCTTGCACCCCAAGGACACAGGCTCTGTCTCTCCACAGCCTTGTTCCCATCACTGGGAAAACGTTTAAAGAGCTGCAGAAAAATCAAAGATTCATAGTGTTATATGCAACAATCATTTCCTTCCCAGGCCTGGGAGACTTCAAAAAGTCAAGACAAAAGAGACACTGTAGTTCACACCATAAAATCAAAAGATATTAGAGCTCTTCAGATATAACAGGTACAATAGCCTTCAGGGTAACTCTAAGAAATTAAACAGGTCAATTATACAGACTTGGAGGGATTATTCATGCATTAAGTGTTCTATAAAATTATCAGAATTACCTACAACATGTCAGCTTTCAGTCTTTGTCCTTTTATTGCTTGTCCTTTTTTACCATTTTTCCTTTGAACTGAACATTTGTCTAAAACTTTTGCTCACCTTTTTCAACTGTTTTAGTTTATTAGGTGTCAGTTCTTAATAAGTCTCCTTCTTCCTTCCCTCTCAGTTTCTCCTTCTGCCCTGTTTCACATGAATGCTCTTTGCCCATATGGTCTTGATCACAGTCCCTTGTCTGTGGTTCACCCCCAGCTGGCAGACGAGGAACCCTCACATACCTTTCTGCTTTCTTTGCTCTAAGGATCCCTCCAGATAAGCCAAAGGGACAAGGAAAATTCATTTTCTCCTACATAGACTGACAATCTGTGACAATCAGCTGAAGGAATGTCAACGTGCCAGACCTTCTCCTCCTCCCCTGCCCAGCTGTTTAGTAGCTGTGGCTGTTTTAGCAGCTTTGTGCATATGGCTGTGTAATAATTAAGACACATTCACAAAAATTCTGCTCATTTAGACCAACTGGCTACACCAACACTATAATCACATCCATTCAGGCAAGGGCCAGCACAGCCAGGTTATCCACATTGAATGTCTTTTCCTAAATTTGTCCTCAGTTTCTTACCTTCCTTTTCTCATATATTAAAAAACCCCTTTCAGCCACTCTCCTCCGACTTTCCCTGCTCCCAGAATTCTGGTGGACTTTGATTTCAGGTAAAGAATGAAAACTTCTCTCTGCTTCCTTGGTGTGCTAGGGGCAGAAAGTGCAGGTGGGGCAGATGGAGACTCCAGGCAAGAGTTACAGCTGCTGGAACAGGGACAGTTGTAGCTACAGGGAGGAAGGTCTGGGGCAAGGGAATATCCAGGCTTGGGGTGAAGGTAAAGGGCCTGAAAGGGTGAGGGATAAAGGGCCTGAAAGGGTGGAAATCAATCCAAGTGAGCTCCTCTTGGAGATCTAGTCACTGCCTCGAGAAAGGAATAAAAGGCTAGCAAAGTGATAGGAGTAAAGTTGGATTACCCATGGCCCTCTTTTAATAATGACTAGAGGAGAGAGTAGCAACTTTTGGATGTGCATCCATGTCCAGGAGGCCAGAGGTGCTGAGTCCCACTGGAACTGAAGCCACTGCAGAGAGGGATAAAGGAGGATATCCCACCCTGGCACCAGTGGGAGAGGGGACCCTAGAGATCAGCACAGCCCTGTCTCCAGTCTGGTATCCATCCTTTTTGCTCCATGTGAAGCAAATCTCACTGACTAGGTGCTGTTAAACCAACACACAAATTTAGCAAGTAAATCTGGAGGATTCAGCCTTCCCCAGCTCAGCCATCCGTAGCACAGCATTTGCCAGCTCGCAGCTGTCCATCAACACCCATTGTGGCATTACAGCTGATTTCACAACATTTTTCTTGCTGACTGAGCCCTCACTCTGATCTGCAAAACCAACACAACGTCAGGCAGATGCTGCTGGTGAAATTCTGGAGTGAGCTGAGTTCAAACTGCCGTTGATACCAGTGCAGACAAAATGTCCCTGCAGGGACAGAAAACGTAGTTTTGAAGTGCTGGGAGCAGTTTGAGTCAGATGGCAGGACCAAAGCTATTGCAGAGATAATAAATTAGGACTATTCCCAACACTATGAGGACCAGAACTTTTCAAACCATCCTTCACACAGTCTATTTTGTCCTTTTTTGTACATTTCTGTAATGTATCATACTCACAGCTTGCTTCCTCTAACTCCATTGTCCTCATGTAAGATGTGCAGATCATATTAATGCTTTCCAAAGAGATGCCAACCTTTCGCTCTGATTTCCTCCTTGGTCACCCAGATAACTAAAGAGGTTTTCAGCACTGACCCAGTGTCCCTGCTATTCATAGAGTCAGTACCTTTTCCTACAGACATCAGTTTCCAATGTTACTATTGCCCTTTCATTAGCACATGGGGATGAGTACAACCTTCTGCCTTGGATTTATTCTGTACTTTATTCTGCAAAACAAAAAGGTTTATCCACAGAGCTGTTCCTTCTGGAAAATTGCATGGACTGGCAGTAAAATGATTCAGCAGTAGCAACACACCCCCTTCCAACACACACCTACTGTACAATGCTGTCGGTCCCTGACACTTAGATCCATCCTGAGGAGTGAAAGAGTGGGACAGACACAGCCCTGAGCCCCTCATTTCTATTCCCCATGGCCTCTTTACATGAGCTGTCCCTAAGAGGGGCAAAGCCAGTGGAACTAAGTCCTTCCTGAGACCATCAGGATCTCCATAACGGGCCTGGCTGTGGATGGAGGAGCCTGGGTGTGTTGTGGTCTTACTGGTTTTCACCCTTCCATTTCTGTATATTTGGGAGCAGCCTTTGTTTCTGTTAAAGGTGCTACTTCTGTATTCTCTTTTCCAGGGCTGAGGAGGAGAGGGCTGAGGCTGGGGACCTGAGGTTACAGTGCCTCCATAGCTGCTCCCCAAATAGTAAGTGACCATGGCTCGAGTGTGTCTGATACACAATGGCTTGTCCTGTCCCCACGCTGGCTCCCTGGGGCTCAGGATGAGGCTTGGATTAGGAAGCTGGGGAAACAGAGGTTTGTTACTCTCCCAGACAGCATTGCCCAAGTGATAATCAACCAGCACATGAACAGTGCAAAATCCTCCACCGTTCAATTTAGGATGTGCACATATCCTATAATTTTGTGTTATCTCAAGAAGCTGTGACTTCATAGTAGTTTAAAAATATGCTCTAATTTACACCTGTATAACTTTCATTATCACTACCTTTTTTCATCTATATTTATCACCAATTCATGATGATGCATGCTATTGAATATAAAAATGATTGAAAGCAGCTTTGGTAGACAATAACTTAGTATAATTAATGCCATTTCTTGCACTTTCTCAGAAAATTGCTATGCTTTTATTCAGGCTTTGCAGAAGCTCTTGCTTTAAACTATGGGAGTCAGTAGTTCAATGTACAGAGCAATGTTGGAGCACGGCTCCTGCCCTGCTCTGAATACTATACTTTTTCTTTACTCTCCAGGAAAGATGTGTGCAGTTTCATGCATCTATTTCCTTGGAAAGAAAGCAAGTGATCCTTCATTCAGCGGGAGGGAGACTTGGGACAGTGACTTGCTGACTCTGCGCTCTTAAAATTTGGAAACCTGCTGGCATTTTGCTGCCTCTGTCTTGCTGAGATGCACATCTCAGCCACGTACTCGTGGAAGCTTGGTGTCTGTAACCCTAATCACTGAGGGTCCTGATCCCTCCCCAGACCTGCTGGAACTGCCCTCCAGTCCCATGTCACTGCAGGTGATCTCCCCACAGGCATGATAGTGCTGGCACTGCTCTCCAGCTTGGTTTGTCATCAGCTCACTTGGTAACTCCTGCTCCTTGAAAATGTCATGTCAGTTATGGACTTTTCCACAGGCAGGAGATCCACATCCCTCATTTTCACAGGCCTGAACATGTCTATTGGTACAAAATTGATCTGGGTCATGTTTCCTGAGAAAATTCCCCACCTGCCAAGCTACTGGCGGGTGCTCAAGTGTACTTTTTTATTATTGAAGCCTGTCCAAAGGTCTTTGTTTCAAAGAACAAATAACAAGTCTTGACATTAGGTGTTCCAAGGAATAGAAACAAGGCTCTTGTTGGTCCTACACCCAGCCCTGCCCCAGTGCTTCAATTCTAAAGGACACAGAGCTTTACCCCCCACAGTGCTGACAGCGCTGGGAAAGCAAACTGCAAAGGAGAAGCCCAGTGTCAGGGTAAAGAACAGTGGCCATTCTTCAATATTCCATCAGTCTCAGCTTCACATCTGTTACCCACTGTAATGAAATCAGATCAATATTAATGAAGTGACAGGAGTGAAGTTCTGCTCTCAGTTCACAGTTTACTTATGAATCCAATATAAGCCGCAGGATCTTCATTATTCATGCTTATTAGGGAGGAAAAAACATTAATTGCTGCTGCTCTGGATGGCACAAATCCTCACAACTCTCAGAAGAACATCTCCTTCCTTGAACAAGTCCATCAAGCCTGCACCTGACCCGAGGATTCTCCTTGATGCTGTTTCTGGCTTCACACACTCCCACTCTGTCACATCAACCATGCAACAGGCTCGTGGCCAGCAGAGCACTGGTAAGAGCAAGAGAATGATGTGAGAAGCACTTGGCTAAAGGCAGGGCAGCCCCAGAGGTTCCCCTGGCTCCCCTGGGTACCTGGGGTCTGCTTGGATGGAAGAAGGGGACACTCAGAGCAGACCAAGTCCTCACCACTGCTTGGTCACGTCAGCACCCACGTGCCACTAACAGAGCAAATGTCAGCAGATCACTCTGAGCACTTTATGAACACTTCCCAGAGAGGTGATCCTGAGCCAGCAGGACACCAAGATGCACC